TCACACACACACTCACACTCACACACACACACACACTCACACACAAACACAAACTTGGTGAAGTGATTTATGTGTCAGTACTTTTTGAACATTTCCAGCACATTTGAACAATACCATGATAATACTGATAACCGTGATAATGTTGGTCACTATGATCGTGATAAGAAATGTTCATACCATTACATCTCCAAGTACGTGTAAAGTGTGTAACGGATGCAGTGAATTAAAGTGTTACTTGCCTCGTGAGCATTTGTGTCCAGGAACAGATGTGAGAGTGTGGTTGTGAATGTGCTGCTGTTGTTGGTCAGGTGATCTCCGCTTGGGCTTCTCCTCTGCTGTCCAAACACAGCGCTCAGATCATCATGCCTCCGCTGCTCAGAGGAGCTCAGGTGCGCCTCATCACCTGTCTGGACATGCGCTGACCAGTGGTCGACCGATACTGGTTTTTTGACAGCCGATGCCGATATCTTGGAAAGCAGGGTGGCCGATATAAAGCCGATATCATTTTATTTGAATTAATATTTTGATTTTTTAAATGGATTTAAAAATAAATGTGTAAAATAAACATACTTTAGATGACAAAGTATTTTTCACAAATTAATACATATTTAATACAAATATAATTAAAAAGGAAGTAAACACTGTAACCAATAGGGCACTCAGTATTCTGGGAAGTTTGTGTGCATTGGGAATCATATTTTTTCAAATAAAGCCATGGTAACACTAATTTTACATGCAACACACAGTGGAAATGACATGAATATAGCAGTGCGCAAATGCATGAAGCGCAGCATAATTTGAGTTGATTGCGCGTCTCCAGTGAAGCTGAATTCTCCTCCTGTCCGCATTCAATTCGAGAACACGCGATCATGCAAAATACAAAAGCACACTTCACAAGATCTTTGAAATTAAATGTTCATTAGTCATTAAAAGACTTGTTTAAATGATATAAATGCATATTTCCTGAATGCTGACGGCAAACGAGAAAGTATTATAATGTTTGCCTTTCTATTACTAATAATATAAAAGCAATCGTTATATACTTTTTTATATACATTTTAATTCCTTTGTTTAACAGTTCTATCTGATTATTAGACAGACTTCTATCCGTATTAGACAACTGTTTGTCTAATTGACTGAGAATGTGCCGTTTTCAGCGCCGTCAAAATAAAAGTCCTGTCTTGAACACATCGGCCAAACAGAAGAACGTATCAGCTGACGCCGATATTTGAAAAATGCCAAATATCGGCCGATATATCGGTTGACCACTTATATATGTCTCTTGCACTGCAGTCGATCTTGGTGTCGCCGCTGCAGGTCTCCAGCCTCAGACAGCAGCAGAACTCCTCAGGGCCTCCTCCGCTGCTCCTCGCTCCCAGAGCCACGGTGAGCAGCATCCCGGGACACAAGATCATCCAGCCCGGCCTCATACGCATGACCTCCATCCCCAGCACAGGCCTGCTTCTCAGCATCAGCCAGGTGTGTGACGGCTGTCCATGGAGAACTCTCTAGTGCTTCACACTGAACACTAGGGCTGGGACGATGAATCGATGCATCACGATTTGAGGATCGATTCTGAGGTTATCAGAATGCATTGCGATTCTCTCTGTAATTGATTCTGAGCTTAGATTTTAACAGCAGATGGCACTCTAGGCTAGTTTTTAACTGCACACTTAAATGCTCACGAACAGTGTTGGGGAAAGGTACTTTTAAAAGTAATGCATTACAATATTGCATTACTCCCTAAAAAAGTAACTAACTACGTTACTTTTTATGGAAAGTAATGCGTTACATTACTTTTGAGGTACTGTTTAAGTCTGAGCAGGGCTTGCTTGTTTGTTTTTAATATAAAAAAGTTATTTTACAAACGTAAAAGCCCTTTCACAATAAAAGTGAAATGAATGCGCCTCAGGCTGAAGAAAATGTAAATTCACGTCTGTACAGTAGAGGGCGCAGCTCAAACACATCTCATGAAGAATATGACGCAGGAGAAGAAAGTTCAACACTATTCAGCAATAACTAAAATGAAACAAGTGTAATTTTTGCTTATTAGTATGGTATTCATTATTAGTTGAATTTCTTAGATGCCATCTTGTAATTATGATAATTACGACAAGATAATCGTGGCATTTTATTAAATATCCATTTACTAGGTGCTCCACATAATCAGTTATAACAGTATTATAATAAAGTTAATATGTGACCCTGGAGCACAAAACCAGTCATAAGGGTCAGTTTTTTGAAATTTAGATTTATACATCACCTGAAAACCGAATAAATAAGCTTTCCATTGATTTTAGGATAGGACTGAAATTGTTTGTTAGGATAGGACAATATTTGGCCGAGATACAACTATTTGAAAATCTGGAATCTGAGGGTGCAAAAAAATCTAAATATTGAGAAAATCATCTTTAAAGTTGTCCAAATTAAGTTCTTAGCAATGCATATTACTAATCAAAAATTAAGTTTTGATATATTTACGGTAGGAAATTTACAAAATATCTTCATGGAACATGATCTTTACTTAATATCCTAATGATTTTTGGCATAAAAGAAAAATCTATAATTTTGACCCATACAATGTATTGTTGGCTATTGCTACAAATATACCTCTGCTACTTAAGACTGCTTTTGTGCTCCAGGGTCTCATATATCCCTAAGTCACTGACTGAAGTCTGGGTCAGGCGTGTCGAACGCTGGTGAGGCGGCTAAACTAGCGCTGCGCAAACAGCTGGAGAAGACGCTGCTGGAGATCCCTCCGCCCAAACCGTCCTCGCCGCAGCTCACCTTCGTGCCGTCAGCAGCCAGTAACGAGTTCATCTACCTGCTGGGGCTGGAGGAGGTGGTGCAAAACCTGCTGCGGTCTCTGGGCCGAGGTGCGGATCAGCGCCGCAAACAAGCGCTTTACACAGGGTTTCATACAGCAGCTGCACAGAAATAATCAGAAAGAGAAACATGTCAGCACTGCAGTGTTCTTCAGTTAGATAACAATGAGTTTAGCTATAAAACTTCCATTAGGGACTTTAAACAAACATTACAGGAGACGATATAGTGTGATTTTTCAGCTCAATTATTCTCTGTTCTTGTTTGATAGTGTCAAGCTTAATCACCATTAGGGATGTAACGATGAACCACGAGCCGTCAAATATGTGACGATTCAAATCGGTTGAGATGCCAAACAAATCGCGATAGAATTGCAGTAGGAGTTTATATGAATGTATCTCTGAGGGGAACTGACTGTCTTTAGCAATGTTTACGTGGTATTTTCTTTTCATCTTGCTTCTAAACGATACATATTAAAGTAGCGTTCATAAGCGCAGCGCTTGTGTAAATATCCTTCTTTTTATGTAATACTTCATTACTATCATCATTTATTTGTTTGTTTTTGCATTACAGTAAAAACTAAATCTTTATGGCTATTTTTAGAGATATTACGATTAACCGCGAGCTAGTTGAAAATCGATTCAAATATGTGACGATTCAAATCGGTTGAGATGCCAAACAAATCGCGATAGAATTGCAGTAGGAGTTTATATGAATGTATCTCTGAGGGGAACTGACTGTCTTTAGCAATGTTTACGTGGTATTTTCTTTTCATCTTGCTTCTAAACGATACATATTAAAGTAGCGTTCATAAGCGCAGCGCTGCTTTGTTTACAGCGGTAACCAAGGAAACACTGTATCAATAGCTGTCTCATTTAGAAGGCTGCGCCCTCCGGAGGTCACATTCGAAGGCTGCATACGTCATCGAGGCTGTCTCATTTCAGAAAAGCAAGTAGGACATTCCGAAAGCGACCTTCGAATGCGACCATCTTTCACAGGAATTCGGAGGATGCATGAGGTGTATCCTTCGCTGCTACAGATAACCCACAATTCATTGCGTCGCCGTAAACAACCATTGTTAATTTGAAAAATGCCGGCACCAGCAGATGTACACACAAGCGCAGATGTGGTGTTTACAACTTAAATCTTAAATCGCCTCGGTAAAAACGGATAAACTTTGTTTTTAAAATCATCCTCCTTTTTTTTCTCTAACAGATGTCTGCTGTACGTACGCTGCAGCTCCTCAAACATTGAACTAAATAAAACAAGTAAAAGCATTTTTTTTTTTCAAATTACTTTCTAAATTTAGAAATAATTTTCCTTCATTTAAGTAGCATGAGAGCGCAACGATGCTCTAAATGTGTTGGCATAGCAACGTGATACTTCCTGTTTCCTTTTCCGCCTGTCCTACGAAGGCCGTCTCGTTTAATTCTAGGTTGAGGACACTTCGTATATGCTTCCTACAGCGGTAACCCAGGAAACACTGTATCATTGCTGTTCATG